CCTTTTTCAAAATAAATATTGGGGTTATCTGTTTTGGCCTATCTTTAATTTTCTGGGTCAAAGAGTGTTTACCAGAAAGGGACCCCTTTGCTTGTCCTATAGTTTCATAAATTATTTTTCCACCTGGGAATTCAAATGAATAAAAAATGCCACAAATATTTTCTCCACTAAACTTATTCGAAGAATCAAATGGTACCTCATATTTCAGACTGTTAAAAAATAGTACAAGATTGTTTCAATACCCTTTTCACTGTCTTTGTCCATTTACTTGATTAAACAATAAAGTTGTTCCAAATTTCAAAATGATGGGCATAATTGAAAAGAAAAATGAAGTCAAAAAGCATATATCCACTGCTACAACTTTAAGGCCCTGTCTAACGCGCATAACTGGCTCTTGTGAATCCTAAGCCCAATTTGAGGAACAAATATTACAGGAATGTTGGTTGTGTAGTGCAGCTATTTCCTTCTGCTTCTTTGGACATGCTGTGAATTGGAATCATCAAAGTGATTTCATTCTTATCCCCGTTGAGGTTTTGTCCATTACTAGGACTCAAGTGGTATTTGTAAGAAGGGATAAAAGTGGCCTGTCCATGTTTGCCTTAGTTAATTGCATGACGGGATACAAGTGGTATTCGTAGTCATTCCAGAAAGTTGAAAACTGTCTGAAGATTCATTCCTAAGAGAATGAAAACAAGACTGCAAACTTCGCTGCATTTACAAAACCCATGCTTTATTCTAAAGTTGGAAACCTATGGGAAAGAAAATCCCATGCTTTAATCTAAAAGTTAGAAAGCACTCCATGGGAAAGCTATTCCCTTGCCTCTGCCCATTCCATGACCCAACAAATCCTAACAGTAACATAGTCTATGATCAACAGCTGGAGAGCGCAGGAGGGGTAAATAAATTTTTTTTTATGCGTCTTTACTAACACAAAGTTGACTTGATAAACAAAATAATAACCACAACAAAAGTGGTTATCAGTAATCTAAATCTAAATTTTACACTTGAAAGTTTTAAAAGAGAAACAGCTACCAATGGATTGCTGAGATTGTGAACACCAATGACACAGGGACAAAATAAAAGATCATATTTATTGAAATAAGAGAGAAGGAATGATGAGTATATCTTGCCTTAAGATCAAAAGCAAAAGGTTGCTGCCCAAAGTTGACATTCACCCTGCCAGATCAAAATTAAGCACACATCTCAAGAACATGAGAACATGAATCTGTATTATCTGAAGCTGAGAAGTAAATACGCAAGCAATTGCCTAATTACAACAGATGAACATTTGAAAAAGCTTAAACATTCAAAGAGGATACCACATACTCCTCATTTTGGCTGTGTACAGCAATTGTAGGAAATAAGGGACCCTTCATATCCTTGGGCACTGTCCCCACTACAGCACCATTTTTACTGGCAAACACATGAAACAAACAAGATAACCTTAAACACCACTGTATTCTCAGGAGAAAACAGACTAAACAAAGTAGACCACTGTCTTACGTGAAAAAGAACTCCTGTGAAGCATAATTGATACCACCTCCAACTATATCACCAGAGGTATAGGTTGGGCCAAAAGCCTCTCCTTTTCCATGTCCGCGATAAAGTAGTCCATCATCCCCATGATAGCCACAACTATTTGCCTCCCACCTGCCTCATGGATGATTAGATTAACACAAATAGAATAACTAAAATAACAGAACTTGCCAATTCAAACTATTACTTTTCAAATCTCACAAACAGTATGAAAAACAATGCTACATGCAGAAAAGGAATGCTTTTTTGCTTTGTTTTTCCTTCTTTTCTTCCCTTGGGAATTGAGAAGCACAAATAAAGACAGAAGATTTAAAATTGACACCAACCCACTAAATCCTATTCATCACAGGTAGTGGCAGGCCACCAGGGGCTGTTGACTGCATAAAAGAAACAAACTCTCCAATTCATAACAAAATTTATGTACATCTCAACGAAGGAAACTTTTTATGGTTCGTATGTGTCATATGTTTCACCATTATTTCACAGGCCATGCAATTATTAATCCAATTAAGAATAAAAAGTTCAGACAATTAAAGGTCAGACAAACCTATGCAACAGAATACTCATCAGCTGGTGAGTTATTTGCCAGTAAAACATATGTCCATTGACCTTTCTACGAGTTAACCTAACTAAAAAGAACCACCAAAACCAAAACAAGCTTCTCTCCAATAACATTATCAGAAAATCTCTAGCTTACAAAGTCCCCAGTTGCAAATTAAAACACAATCTCACTTTTGTTTCCTATTTCTATTCTGTCTTGTCCTATTCGGTTTCACAGACACCAAGCAATGCCCCAACTTGAATCCACAACTAAAACCCAATACATCCGTTTAAATTCTTTCATATTTTCCCAAAATTTACAAATTACCAACAACCAAAAAAGACCACTAACAACTGTGACAATTACGCTCATTCATTTTCTCCAACAGCAAACAGACCCAATCAAACTAGAAGCCTCACCCGGGCTGCCTCCGCATCTTGAAGCTCTCAGAAGTAAATCCAATGGCAATCTGACCCTTGGTCCCAGCATCCTTGACATAAATCTCGAAGTAGTAGACAAGCCGCTTGACCGGAGCTGGCTTGTTAGCCTGAACGACACCAACGTCGTGTCCATGAAGGTTGACGTTGGTGTACTTGGCCGAGAGCTTATCGGGCGACACCACGAGGAAGCCTCCAGAACTATTGATGGTATTGAGCTCTGTAGGAGCCTCCTCGTCCTCGTCCATGTCCGTCGGCACACGAGCCGAGCCAAGCCGCGATTGCTCTAGGAACCACAGGCCGAGATCTCGATCGCTGTGGCCGTTGGTACTGTTGGTGTTGTTGCTCATTGTTTGAATCTGAAACCCTAGAACTCAAGAATCATTTGGTGAAAATCAGAGTGGAAACTTGGAAACCAAAACCCTTCTTCGATTTGGGGACTTAGCAGAGTAAGATAAATGGAAAAGATTTGTTACTGCAGATAGAGGGAAAGAATCAAGAATCTTTTATCACCGTGTTTCCTTGAAAATATTTTATGAAATACTTGCGCTAGCATGGCAATTTTCCAAGGGGATGGCCAGTTTCCCGACGGGTTCAACCTAAATGGGTCGGGTATGAATGATATTTTTATTTATTTTTCAGTATAAGTTATTGTTTAAGAGGGGTATTTAATTGAGATTTTTTAATTAAAAGTGATAATAATTTTATTGATAACACACACACAACAATAACTACAACAACAAAAAAGGTTTAGAGTAGCCGTAATGCCAAATATGAGTACAACATCTCTATTGACTAAACACAAAAATAAATTGGTTTGATTTGGAGAGAATTACACATGCCAAGAAAACATAAAACCTCCAATTCGGCAGACAAAAACACCTATACTCATACCTACAATACATATCCATCAAAAACACCTATACTCATACCTACAATACATATCCATCGCACAATGGCAGTTACGGCAAATCCGCATCGAAAAGTCGAATACTAAATACAAACATCAGTGAACTCCTATTGAGTTTCTGAGAATTATTAGACTAAAATAAACACAGAAACAAGGACACCACACTATATCCTCTCCAACAAACCAAAGAGACTCGTAGCACCAACATGGCTAAACCTCTTATTTTGCATAGACAAAACTCGATCCCACACAAACTGGCAATAATCACTTTTCCAACTCCAAACACTGAACTAGAGCAAAATTCATGTGAGTTGACCAAAAGTTGCAACAAATCATGGCGTTTACGGTGGATTGCAGTACTTGCTTAAAAAACACAACAAAAACCAAAGAAAAAAGTTGGGTCGACAACACTGCACCCTAGCCATCCCAGTGACAGCAAGACACATCCAAGAACAACAAAAGTCACCAAGGACCTACCACAATAAACACACAAACAAACAAACAAACAAAAGACAATATCCGGATAGATCAGGGCAAGATGACCTAAAATCCAAAAGAATCTAGGGAGAGAAGAGGATAGGGGAAGAAAAGTAGGAAAGGAGAAAGGGAGATGAGGAGAGAAAGATGGAAGATGGGGAAGCTACCCACCTCCAGAGGGGGGCGGCGGCTGTAGTGCAAGCTCACAGTTTCTTCTTCAGAGAGAGTTTAGGGTTTGTTTAGAAAAAAAATCTAGGGTGTGTAACTATGATCTTCTCAATTGAGATTTTAAAAGAATATTTTGGGATAAAAAAAGTCTTGTGTTATTCAATTAAGACTTTTAAATAATCTAAACAAATCTTGTGGTATTCCATTAAGACTGTTAGGATTTTTTATTTTATTTTTAAAAAAAAGGAGTCAAAATCACATGGTATTCAATCAAGACTTTAAACAAGTATAAAAAAATCTTATGGTATTCAAAAACTTGCTAATTTTGAAGGATTTTTTAAGATGTGGAATTGTGGGGACTTTTAGTGGGAGGTAAAAATACCAAACTCTATCTCAAATCCTACCCCAACACATGAGATTTTTCATGTGAGATTTTTTTCACATGGGATTTTGCTTCAGAGCCTTCAACGGCACTTGGTAGGCCATCTCCGTACACAGAAAAACTTCTGAGTTTGAGAAATCGAATCAGTAAGAGGGAATGGGGACATATTTACACAGAGGTTGATACAATTGTTAGGGAATTAGTAATTACCAAGAAGAATTAGTTGAGATGGCAAAAGGGTTTTCAATTCGAGGAATGGATGTATCACAACGCATACTTGCTAGTAGTACATCAGTTCTTAAAGGTAGTGCAAAATTTATGTTCTTCATTGGTAGTTCCATTGTTTCTGGAGCAGCAGAGATTTTCAATTTTGTATCTCAGTTAATGGTATTCTTCTGGGTATTGTATTATCTGATCACATATGAGTCTGGTAGAGTGACTGTACAAAATACATTTCTTGTACATGCCCACCGTTCTTGCAATCCTCAGCTCTCTGTTGGTTCTCACCATCTGTTCGTCGAAATGCCTCCAAGGGCTTCGCTGTAGCACAGTGGCGGAGCCATAAATTTAAGTAAGAGGGGGCACCTTTAAAAATTCAAACACTTTCTTTTATGACAAATCAACCTAGTTTTTAAGAAATCCCTAATTTTATCACTTTTCTCTATTTTTTTTCTCTTTACTTTTTGTATGAATAACCTATCACCCTTTTATGATAACAAAATACATGCAATCGAAAAGAAATTTAGACATAAAAATGAAAGAGAAAAAAAGAAAATAGAGGCCATTTAAGAATTTGTGAGGAATTTTATAATATTTATACAATATACTAACATAAAATTGTATGTACAACAATAGTTGAGAGGGGGCCAGTGCCCACCCTGGGCATGCACTGGCTCCGCCAGTGCTGTAGCAGTTGGGAACCGATATGGGTTACTAGCAGAATTGCAGTTAGCATTGTCATTTTCAAAAAAATAAAACCAAAACTTATTTAGCTGATGTGGTATATTATAAGCCATTAGATTTTTTTAATTCATAATCCATTAAATCCATGTGGTCCTTTCAAATCTTATAAATCTTGATATAAATCTTTTAAAATACATAAGTAAAAAATCTTGATTATAAAAAAGTCCTTAAATAAAATCCTATAAGTCATTACATTCTGCTTAAATCCACTAGACTTTTTTTATCCCTAAAATGTTTTTTAAAATTTCAATTGAATACACCCCCCCTAAATTAAAGGGGAGTCGGATTTCTCACACACAACTAATAAGACCTCTTGTCTGCAAGTTAAGACCCTTTTTCTACTGAGTTAGACCTTATTGATCGGATATGAAAGATATAAATGAGAACGAGTTGGGGAAATTTTCGGGTAAAATGTTTGGGGCAAGGCAGTGATGGTAATCCCCAACCCAAACGCTCCTTGTGTTTAGAATATATATGCATATTATATAGTTTTTATAAGAATATATTATTAAGTGGCTTCTAAGTGTGTCTCAAAACAACCACCAAAATATGTATTTCACGTATTATATATTGAATTAAATAATACATAAAAGTGTAAGTCTAAAACGCAACTTTTGTATTATTTGTCATAATTATTTGTCCTAAAGTGTAAGTCTAAAACGCAACTTTTATAAGAATATTTTTCAAGTTGTATTTTATAATTAGGATATTTATTTCCTAGTTTATTATGATTATATTTCTTTCCTTTTTGTAAAGATATTGTGTAATTAAGTTTTTATCTTGTTCCCTAGTTTGACCCCATTAAGGTTATATTTTTGTACTATAAATACCTTCTTTTGGAGAATAGGGATAAGATATTACTTAATTACATATAATAAATTGAAGAAGTAGACCAAAAAACAAAAGGTAAAGAAACTAATTTTCATAAATAAGTAAACAATTTATAAACCGTATAGCCGACCGGCTATACTATTTATTATATAAAAAAGACCAGCCCAGGACCACGTGTGAAAAGGGCGGAGTGTTGTGGTTAAGGCTTAAAGGTGTCACCCATAGTTGGGGCCCATCCAGGACCACCTCGTGGTTCAAACCAAAAAAAAAAAAAGGGCGGAGTCATATGTTTTTTTGGAAAAAAGGGGGGAAAACGAGTATAGCCGGGCGGCTATACTATTTAAAAAACAATTAGGAAAAACTGCGTATAGCCGAGCGGCTATACTTAAAAAAAAATACATGTATATTATTTTTATTCAATAATATGTGAGAATATGTATATAATACGTGAATTTGTGCTCCTTATTGAAATTTTTGTAAAAAATACGTGTAGTAAGCATGAGAAATACGTGCAGACGTGTATAATACATTATAAAAAGTGAAAGTAGCAAGATCTTTATACGTATAATAATTATGGAAAAGAAAAAAATCGAAAAGGGACAATAGTTACTCGAGTAATGGCCTAATAGTAACGTATTGAGCTCTTGGGCTATGGAAAAATTTAATTAAGATACCCAAAAGATTTCACAAAACACTTAATAAATAGAAATGAGTTATTTTGTGCACTTCTTCTTTAATTTTGTTGTATTAAATAGTAATTAAAATATAATTACAAAGTAAAGTAATTCAAAAAGGATAACATATTACTTAATTACATATAATAAATTGAAGCAGTAGGCCCAAAAACTAAAGGTAAAGAACTAAGGTAAAGAAACTAATTTTCATAAAACATTATTATTTTTTAAACAGTATAGCCGACCGGCTATACTATTTATTATATATAAAAAAGACCAGCCCAGAGCATAGGACCACGTGTGAAAAGGGCAGAGTCATATTTTTTTGGGAGTTTCACTAAAACACCCAAAATGGGGGCTTAAATTATAAAAAAAAACCCAAGCACTATTTAAATATATAAACACACCCAAAATCCATCATTACACACACTCAAAATCCATTTATAAACACACTCAAAAAGTTGACTTTGGGTGTGTTTCTATGTTTAAATAGTGCTTGGGTTTTTCTATAAATACATGTCTAGGATTGAGTTTATTTATAAATTTGTATATTTTTTTTGGGGAAAAAATGGGGAAAACGAGCGGCTATACTATTTTAAAAAGCAACTAAGAAAAACTGAGTATAGCCGAGCGGCGATACGTTAAATACATGTATATTATTTTTATTCAATCATATGTGAGAATATGTATATAATACGTGAATTTGTGTCCCTTATTGAAGTTTTTTTAAAAAGTACGTGTATTAAACATGAGAAATACGTGCGGAAGTGTATAATACATTATTAAACGTTAAAGTACCAAGATCTTTATACGTATAATAATTATGGAAAAGTAAAAAATCGAAGCGGTACAATAGTTACTCAAGTAATGTTCTATAGTAACGGATTGGGCTCTTGGGTTATGGAGAAATTTAATTAAGACACCCAACAGATTTCACAAAACACTTAATAAATAGAAATTAGTTATTTTGTGCACTTTTTCTTTAATTTTGTTGTATTAAATAGTAATTAAAATATAATTACCAAGTAAAGTAATTCAAAAAGGATAACATATTACTTAATTAGATATAATAAATTGAAGAAGTAAGCCCAAAAACAAAAGGTAAAGAAAGTAATTTTCATAAAACATTAATTTATTTTTTTTACAGTATAGCCGGGCGGCTGTACTATAAAAAACCAGCCCAGAGCCTAGGAGCACGTCAAAAGGGCGGAGTGCTCA